GTACAGGCATTCCTGGTCCTCCTTAACCCCTGCACCTCTCCCGAGCACGCAGGGCTTGCTCACCGAAGTGTTCTGGCACTGCACGCTGGAGCTGTTGAACCTCAAGGCGGGCACCCGCTGCTCATTGCCCTGGATGTTCAAGATGCACTCGTAGCCTCGCTGGCCCGACTGCGGCTGGGGCAGGTTCTTGGCCTTCAACGTGATCGGCTTGATGACCTCCACCGGCACCAGGATCTTCTCTGCCTGCAGCAGCTGGGGACAGTCCTAGGGAGAGAGAAGACGACGTGACAAGTCAGGACATGGGTTTCCCAGCCCCAGGTAGAGTCCTCTGATGCTTCTCAACCTTCTCACTTCACGCTTCGCTTCAACCGATTACAAAGCCTTCGCATCTCCCCAGGCTTCAGCCTATTACAAGGGTATTCAAGGAGCGTTACTGGGAAGGCTCAGATAAACAGGTGAGGAAGGATTTCTTTTACAGATCAGCCTTTCCTATTTCCCTTGCTCGCACTGCAGACTTTCAACCTTCGAGGAAGCTACCTCTGGTGCTTTTTAATACCTGCTCCGTTAATCAGGTAATGGGAAAGCAATTGTGTCCCCTCCAGGGACTCAGCCTGGTCACAATGCCATGACACGAGAAGTGAATAAAGCAAAATCTGAGCATAGTTCCTTAACTTCCCAGCAGCCAGTGCACCACTGTACCAACAGGCGCAGCTCCAGCAAGACACGTTGTAAACTACAGCATCTAGGCTGTTAAAAAGAGACTTTGTTTTGTCTTAGAAGGGGACAGAATATCTATTACAGAGGAATCGAGCTCTGAAGAAACAACTGCGACACAGTGTGTGGAGATCCCTTGGAAAGGCTGGCCACCATTCCATAGAAGGAGCGATACTAAGTGGATGCTGCTAATCCAGTGCCTCTTGGTGGGTCCCTCGCACAGGTAAAGGTCTGGGCACCTAAAGCTGCGATGCAGAACGCTGTGCTCGAAGACTCATTAATTTGCACAGCTTTAGTTGGAGTGGTAATGCTCTGCTTCTTCATAGTGCAATTAGGCAACTGCAAGCTGTCAAATTCATGTATTCTAAGAAGCTATCAACTCTTTAGGAAATTACTGCAGCGTTCGCCTGGATAATCCAAGGCAGTTTGATATAAAATGGGATCCCTGAAAAAAAAAACCACTAGAACAGTCTACAAAACATAAGTATGCCATATGCACAGACCACGCTGCCCTGATTGTTTCTGAGTGCCTGGCTGTCCCCCCTCTTCAGTCTTTCCAACTCCTAGGTGCCAAGAGAAAGCCTTTCCCTTCTTTTTCTTCTCTGCACTGTATTTGGCACACTGCCTGCTCTCTGTAGAGCAGCAAGCTATCGTGATGGTGTAGCCACCCTGTCCCGTCCAGACAGCAACGCCGTTTCAGCCTGCCCAGCCCAACGTTACAGCCAGGTCCAGGCAGTGCAGGCAGAGACAGGGAACTTATGTAAAGAGGTGCGAGCTTAATCTGTAGAGCTAGACAAGGAACAACAGGAGGTAAATGACTGACCCAGGTATGGAAAGTAAGGAAAGGGACTGAAAGGCTCAAAAGTGGAATTTATGGCTTAGGAGAGCCTGGGAGCTTGTTAAGAGCAGATGGTAGAAGCATCTTACTGAAGCAAATAGCTTAGGAAGATAAAGAAATGGATTAGACGTGTAACATCTGCAGTTACACCAACCAGGAACAGAATTACAAGAGCCATCAATCATCACACTGCGAGTGTGAGCTGATCCATGGCCAGGGGCAGGAAGAAAATCCAGTAACGACCCAGTGCGTCGCCGCAGTGAAGTCCAGAACCCTTCTTCGGTCCCCGAAAGGGTCTGTCTGTCCTAGCGGGAATGACAGACAGAAGAGCCCTTTGGGGCAACCTGATTTCTCATCTTCATTTACAGGATGATGCTAATGAGGTAAGGACAGCTGCTGATGGACTTCAGTTGGCTTTGCCCAGGCTAACACCAGAACCAGGACAGCCAAGCACGGAGTCACTGGAGCTGGATGGAGGTAAATCATCTTGGATCTGGTGTCTGGGCTAGCTTAATAAGTGCTATCAAGGGCTGAGGTTTAATCGGCTATCACGTTAACCTGGCTGGGTGGTGTAAGGGTTGGAGGTGGGAAGCCCATATGAGCTTTACCACAGTGACTCTCCACTGCTTTGGGCTTCTTGGTGCTGAGCAGCACTTCAACACCCAGAGAGGTGTGAGGAGGCTCCAGGAAGCAGTGGCAGTGGAAGTTGCCTTCTACCTCATCAGGCATAAGACACAGCCAGTGTGGAAAGAGGCTGTTTCTGACCCCCAGGAGTGCGCGAGGAGCTACACCCTGTTCCAACACCCTCTGCTCTTGCTGCTGTCCTGTCCCATGACAAAATGTCCCCAGGGAACTACTAAGGCGGAAACACAACGGTCAAAGTGTCATAGAAGCGTTTGTCTTGACAAAAGGGCAAGGCTTGACAGTCTAGGAAGTCTTTACAACATTAAGTCCAATGATCATACCCTATCAAGGCACGTCAGCGTTAAGGTTAGCTACACAGTTAAGTAGGTACTCAGCATGAGAAAGTGAGGCATAATCTAACCCAGGGTGACTCAGACCTACAAAATCCCCGAGGGCAAGGAAAGGAGGTGGTCCAGGCTACATTAAAACCAGAGAGAGAGTTTCCAGTTCCGATCACGCCAGCAGACACCATATGTAAATACCATTTGGGAATATATGGCTTCAACACCCCCTGAACCTTCCCCTTCACCTTCCCAACGTGTCCTGGGGCCCCTGAATCAGCTCCCTCTCTCTCTCCTGGCATAAGAAAAAGCCTTGGCAACATCATCTCAATGTTTTTTTTCTCCCCAGATGTAGGAGTTGAGAGAGAGATGCGTTGGCAGAATGAATCAGTGGGACAGGAGGAAGGGAAAGCCCTATCTGCTGCCGAGCAGCCATTTCCCAAGAGTGGGAATTTTGCTTGATGTCTGTCAAATAGAAAAACCTCTGAAGGGGGCTGGAGGATGGGGGTTGGAGATAGTCCACTATGCTACCTGCAGGCCAATCCCAGCTCTTCAGGCTGGTCTTTCTTGTCTGGCTTTATCCCGTCCCCCTCCACCACTGGTACTGTAACCTTTCTGATAACACTTGTTTCAAGTTCATTAACAAGCAGTGATTGCAGCAGCCCCAAAACAGGATTCGTTTGCATATAAAAAGCTTTGCAGTGCTGTGAGGAAGTTCATTATAGATAATTGAAGAGGCAAGCTCCATAAAGAGGAAATCCTCCCAATGTGGCTTTATCTGATTGACCTAATGTTCTTTCTAATTGAAACAGGGGGGGAAAAAAGGCAATTTCATTGGGTGATGTACTGCATAAAACCTCAGAGCTTGGACTAGGCTCTGGGTTCGAATTCAAATGTAATATTCACTTTGCAGCCTGTGTCAAGCTTTGGGTGCCTGGTCAGGTTTGTATTTTTGAGGGTAAAACATCACTTTGCTGAGAGCAGACCCTGCAGCAGGAACCACAGAAGGATCCTGAAGAAAGAGTTATCTTGGGCATTTTCCAATAGAAGCAGTTTCTCTTCACCCTTCCTCTGCAATGGACATCCCAGGTTGGAAAAGCAGAGTTTTCACATGATGTAGGGGAAATAGAACCATCCACTGCCAACAACGGCAACAAGAAAGGGTATAATCCCTCCCCTTTGTCTTTGGTATATAATAAATTAAGCCTTTCCCCTGACTCTAAGGGGAACTGGTTCAGATTCCAGAGGAGCTAAAATCCAGTTTAATCTGTACCAGGGCAACATATTTGAAAGCGGACTCTTGTTGATTCATTTTGTGTGTGTAGCTTTATTCTATTCCTTCAACGCCTTCAAATGAGTCATTTTCTTTAAAATAATATCCTCCACCCTTGCCAATTACTCGTATCAGCAGCGATGCACACCTCAAATCACCAAATTTTGCCAGTTATCAAGTCAGAGAGCTGTTGCAGCGAAAAAACTGCACGAAACGGGCTGTACTCATTGGGTCGATGGTAGTTTAATTTTCTTTATTTATAACTCCTCGTAGAATGCCTGCAAATGTGTTTTGCTGTAGCTTGCAGAAATAATGAAGTCTCAGAAATGTAAGAACCCTTTCTCTCCATTCCCCTCACATATGTGTTATGGCCCTCATCACAGCTATACTTGAGTGAGTCCCCAGTGAGAGCCATCATGAGAATTCAGCTAAAGAGGACAATGAAACTTCCCTGGGGCTATGTGGTCTTAGCCCTGAACTAATTAGTTTGGTTCCTTTATGGTGCTTCATACCTATATAGTTATGATTTCATGGAGATTTCACCATGGTGTTTTCTAGTACAAGCTGGAGACTGACCAGATACTCAGAGTTACTGCCCTCTCCCAGGGATGAAGCATGTTGGGATCTTTCACAGTCATGTGACATTTTGTGGGTTTTCTTTTAACCTAATTTTGTACAGTTTCACTCTCTGTTACTGTTTATGGCCAAGATCATGAGCCCAAGTCTCATCAAAGAGCTTTCTGTTTTCCGAAAGAAAATGGGTCTGATCTACATGGAATGGCAAGCGTCCTATATGGGAAGAGGTAAAACATCTGTGAAGGTTTAATACAATGACCCATCCACCTGTCCAGAGTCTCTGCCTTATATTGGTGTCCCAGTTCACTTGTCTTCCTCTGCGCATCTCATGTCTCTCATCCCTCACCTGAATGCATCTCAAAGCATTCAGATGAGGGAATCTTTCCTACTTTTCCTTCATACTGCTCCCTCATGATCCCTGGTAACATTGACTGGATCTCCACTTACTACAGAAGGTAACGAGAGCTCACCTATTGCTGACAGCATTGTAGGCATGTTTGGTGAGGCAAACTCAACTCTTGGCAATGGATTTCACCCTTCCTTTCCCAGAAGAGTAGGAGTCATCTCCATGCAGGACCAGACATAAGCACCACCACTGATTCCTGCCCTACGCATCTCAAAGCATCCAGTTCCCCTTTTCTCCTGCCATCAAAATCCATTTCTTGATCCTCAACTTCAGGAGAGGGGTTAAGACTTTCTTTTCAATACCCCTCACTCGGCAACCACCTTTGTACCTTATCCAGGCCATTTATCTGCAAGGAACATTTTTTGGTGGACGAAAAACTGAACATGAGCCGGCAGTGTGCACTGGCAGCCCAGAAAGCCAACTGTACCCTGGGCTGTATCCAGAGAAGTGTGGCCAGCAGGTCGAGGGAGGGGATTCTGCCCCTCTACTCTG